TGTAGGGAGGGAAGGCCCTGGGGTTACTAATGGTTACACAAGCCAAATAAATCGTTATGATGATATCATAAAGTAGCCAAAATTTGATCAGCTCATTATCAGACAGGTTTTTATATAAATGGATCAGGACAAAAACTGAGCAAATATTTTTTCCTGAAACTTTCAGAATCTCTTTACACAGAGGGGACACATGTTTATGTATAAAAGACATGAGAAAGTGGATTTTGCACAATAGGTGACCTTTCAGGCCGCAATAAAACATAAGAAGCTGCTTGAATATGAATACTTAACATTATTGCTTTAAAACGTACTTACATTTTTTGTTCATCAAAAATAAGATTACAGGGGCACTGAGTAGATTTGTCAGCAGCAGTTCAGTTAACTCATCTCAAGGAGTACTTTGGAGTCTATGAACACAGTTGTATAATAATGAACATACCCTGACCAGGGTTAGGAGGATGTAATGCAAGAGTTGCATCATGGAAAATGAAGGATTGCTCCCAAAGTCTGTTGCTTTGAATTTAGGAATTATTCTATAGAGTGGAGCAGTGACGCGTCCTAAAACCCGGAAGTAAGCTGCGCATGGATTCCCTCGACAAAAAAGCAATGCAATTTCTCCATAGCATTTTGGAAAATAGCTGGAAATAAGGTCTGTGGTTGACACATATTTAAGAGATTGATCACGTTTTGTTCAGTCGGATAATCTCCACATGTCTACCCTACTTTTATAATTTTCTAATCGTAATTCTAATCGCCAGAAGCAAAATGCTAACGTTATGCTAAACAAACTACAGCAGGGTCGCTGCTTCAACGTCACGCCAACTTAAGATCCATATTCAAAAATACAGCTTCAAAATTGTACAAGTTGAAGCGTTTGTTTTAAAAGTTTGCAGGAGGCAAGTACTTGCTTTCAAGCAGAACACGGAGAAAAACAAACTTAGCGGGAGTGTTTACTGTTTACGTGTTCGGTGTAATGACGTACAACGGCCTCGACAACTTCTGTAGTCCTATTCAGCCATTTGTTAACAACCATCGTTTTTCAGACACGTAAACTCTTCAAAAATCACCAGTGGGGTCACTGCTGACGTATTTAATGTCGTAGGACAAAACGTGATCCGTGTCTTAAATGCTTGTCAACCACAGAACTTATTTCGAGCTATTTTCCAAAATCCTATGGAGAAATTGCATTGCTTTTTTGTCGAGGGAACCGGAAGTAGTAAAATACTAACTTACTTTCGGGTTTTAGGACGCGTCACTGCACCACTCTATTGCCCCAACTATGGAAGTGCAATGCTCAGTCACTTCAGCACTACTGCATGGCTGCAATGCACACTTTATTAATTGCGGCTATTGAAATCACGAATGGTGCATCACTGTTAGTGGAAAGTTTGATTTTGATGAGGGAGAATATGTGGAGACATAGTGGCTAAACATGCAAAAAAAATTACCAGCTGTAATCGGAACTGCAACAGTGCAGTTAAGGGGGATGCAATGTATCTATTTAGCTATCAAACAAACTAAATATATGCATATTACCTATTTTAAACATGTGCAAGTAGCCCTGAGAACCGAGAGGCTAAATACAACTCACCATTTGCGAGAGATTCTGTTTGTTCCATTTGTGCAGTTTTCTCGTGACCATAAAACCTAAGCAATGCAGAATTCGACTCTCAGTATGCGAGAACAGTAATTTTTAGATATGAATGTCTAGTACATTTTTATTGAAGTGAAGGGCTTCTTTCTAGACTCACTAATGATAAATAATTATTACCCATTCAAACAAAGAGAGATTCATAACAGCAGAGACAGGAACATCAATTCCTGCTTGAGTTATAGCCCAGTAGAGTCAGACACAGATTGTCGTTTGTGTGAAACACATTTCCCTTTTTCAGTGGCTCTCTGTTATTCAAACAACACGGCACAGTATACCCACAGCATTGTTCTCACTCTCACTTTCATAACTTTATTATTGTTTATGTTGTCACTGATCTTCCTCAAGTAACATAAGCAGAGAGGTCCTCCCCCTCCCCTGTTAAAGAGGATTATATTCTTTTTTTAAATGAAACAATGACAAAGAAACAATAGTGATTTGAAATTGTGCCAAATATTCAAACTGAGCAGGACATTTTAATATGTAAAAATCAACTTGCCTGTAATCTAAAAGGAGACACTGCTTCGGAATGACATCAAACCTAGTTTTGCATTTTAGAACTTCATTTTTGACAGACCTATACACAATTACCATATGCTAACAAGTTAAACTGAGATGGTGAGCGCGTAAACTTTATAAATGCTTAGCAAAATCATGCAGCTACAGTATGTAATTGTGAGCAGGCTAGCAGACTCGTTATGTACTGCATTCAAACATCGCTGTTCCCAAGGAGCTACGTAGGCCAGTCATAAACATGCAGGCAAACATTTTTTGAAGGTTTATTAATTTACCTCACAATCATTGCAATGATAACTTACGAGAGTTTTTATTCAGTATCTGAGTAATACAAACTGTTGTTTTTAAAACATAAAGAAAGAAATTAATTAATCCGTCATCAAAACAGGACCTTGTTGTCTCTGTACCTAAAACAAGCTTCTCCTCAAATGCATGTCCTTGATCCGTTTTAATTCAGGGTCCCATCTAATTCTTGTCAAATCATTTCTTAGTATTATGCATACATCTTGGCTCAACTCCTGCCAAGCTTCATAATTCATAAAAAAACAAAACAGGCTTTCCAACAAGCAATTCTGTGACAACATGCCTTTTTTTGACGTTGATCAACTTTTGTTCTAACAAAAGACCTACAAAGCTCCAAGCAGCACAGCATCAGAGAAGGCACAGGCTATAAATGATCATCATACAGTTTTCACAATATGCTACAAATGAATAGTGAACACATGATGAATATGCTAATACATTCTACAGTATGGAAGAAATAAAATAATTGAAGCGCGTTTGATGTTTCACATAAACCCTGAGGATAGCTTGAAAAAAGGACTTTCATCTCTCAAAAAGGCCTTCACAAACAATGCACCCGAGCTGGCTATTAGAGATGATGAAGAGACAGAATACTGCAGAGCGGTTTAAAAATGTAGACTCGGAGAACACATCTGGCTCAAAAAATATCTGATAACAAAGCGAATATGATAAGAAGTGAACTTTTCGTTTTAACGCTTGTACCACTGAGGCTTTAGATGTGAAAAGCTCTCAAAAAGGCGTTGTCATACTGTACCTGAACATCAAAGTCGGAGAGATCTGTAAGAGCATTATCTGCTCATTAACAGATACCCAGAGATCACAGACCCTAATAATGAGGATGACAGGCTGGCATTAAGCTGGTTTAACAGCATTATACGTAACAATATTGCGGCCCCCCTGCTCCACTCCAAAAAAATAACACATTAAAGCTCATTTTCTATACAGAGATGAGACTGCTTTTCCCAGAATGCAGTTTTTATAATGAGCTACAGAAGTGAATAGCGACTTGGATTCCCTTAAGTCTTCGATCTCTTTNCGGAAGAAAAAGCAGTTCATTCTTGTCAAGGTTGAGCTTGAGGTGGTGAGCAGACATCCACTGAGAGATGTCCGTCGCACGCATCTCTGCTTGTCTAGCAGACATCTCTCAGTGGATGTCTGCTCACCACCTCAAGCTCAACCTTGACAAGAATGAACTGCTTTTTCTTCCGGGAAAAGATTGTCCCACTCTTGACCTAACAATCAACATCGCCCCCTCTGTTGTTTCCCCGACTGTTGTTTCAGGCTCTCGTCATCTCACGCCTAGACTACTGCAACTCCCTCCTGGCTGGTCTACCTGCATGTGCCATCCGACCTCTGCAGCTCATCCAGAATGCAGCGGCTCGTCTGGTCTTCAACCTTCCTAAATTCTCCCACACCACACCTCTCCTCCGCTCCCTTCACTGGCTTCCAGTAACTGCTAGAATCCACTTCAAGACACTGGTACTTGCGTACCATGCTGTGAATGGTTCGGGCCCTTCCTACATCCAGGACATGGTTAAACCATACACCCCAGCACGTGCACTCCGCTCTGCATCAGCCAAACGACTCGCTGAACCCGCACTGCGAGGGGGACCCAAGTTCCCATCAGCAAAAACACGTCGGTTTGCTATCCTGGCTCCAAAATGGTGGAATGAGCTCCCCATCGACATCAGGACAGCAGAAAGCCTACACATCTTCCGGCACAGACTGAAAACTCATCTCTTTCGACTCCACTTCGAGCAATACAATTTAAAATGTTTTTTAAAAAATAATAATTAACTTAGATACTAACAAAGCACTTATACTAACTAAGCACTTACATACTAACAAAGCACTTATATACTAACAAAGGACTGGCTTATCTAAAGCCAGTTGAGTAGCACTTGAAATGTTTTAGCTCTATGAAACCTAATGTACTTATATGATTCTGTTTTCTTCAAGTTTGTATCTTCTTGGTCGAATGCACTTATTGTAAGTCGCTTTGGATAAAAGCGTCAGTTAAATGAAATATAATGTAATGTAATGAATTCATCCCATGGTCTTGCACACAGCAAACATTTAAAAAAAAAAAAGGTCAAATAGCACCAGTTAGAAATATTCTACTGTACTATAAAACAGGCAATAATAATCATTTTCTCTACTTTGGAGGATTAAATCATCTGTATTTTTGCGCTCACACTGAGGATCACCTCTGAACCAGCTCCCAGCATTCTCCTTGCTTACAGGAGCTCCCTGCAATAATTGATGCAGCCTCTCCATGGTTACCTGCGGGTGTTTTAAAGGCCACACCAGTATCAGGTTCTCTGTGATGGAGGAGTAACGCTGTGGGCACCACCACCCTGATCATACACACTGCACCCGGGTTTACATATTCAGAGTAGCACGAGACCAGACAAAAATTAACAACTGCACATATCCCAACTGTGATGAAAGATATTCAAATATGAACACATAAACTGTAGGTAATATATTTCCTCCAGCTGTGGCTCTGTATCAAAGTTTATTTCTCATGCACATCTTTATTTATAATCAGAGAGAACTCACCTGGCCACAACTTCATTATCTACTTTTACAATGCAGTATGGATCACTGGTTCCAGAGCTTAAAATGACAAGAAAAAGATCATGACAACATGAGATAATTTGCTTAATTTCATTTTACGTTGTCTTTACTTCCTTCAACGTATCAAATTTACAGCAGACAATATAACAGAAACTGGCAATTTAGATCTAGGTTGAACTTTTTTTCTTGTCCAATTAAAATGATACGTTTCTGTTAGACAATGTTAAAGCTGTATATTGTGAGAGATAAGACTTGACCACAGAAGCACATGTCATTCAGAAATTACTTACACGTCTTTGGCCGGGAGGTTCCTGCCCTCGACAATTCTAAAATAGAGAGATGTGTTTCTGGCCATTTTCAGTCGAGTGGTCTAATGGTCCAATCTCCCCTATGTTCCCATACGAGCTCTTATAAATACTGCTCTTCCCCTCCGCAAGTGAGTTTTCTTCATTTCACGGCACCTTCGGCGCGTGACAGCGCACAGCCCACCAGTAGCGCGCGACCCAGGCGCGCATGCAGCAACCAGTCAGTCAGTCAGTCAGTCAGTGAGCACAGCAGGTTGGACAGTCTGTGGTTGAACCCTTTACAGTCTGTGGTTGAACTCTTTACAGTCTGTGGTTGAGCACAGTGGCCACAGTGTGGGCAGCTGGACTGTTTTCCTACTGGTTGCCTTTCAAACCAGCCACATGGTTGAATCGTCGGAAATGTCCATTCTGAAATAAACATGAAAGAATAAACTGCAGCTCTAGAAATTACGTTTTTATACCTCACCTCGTCCACAATCATATTTTAATTGAGGTCATTGCATTTAAAGATGCGCTGTCGTGCTAATTTATAATATCTGTAAATGTATGGTCTTACCTTGAAGGTGTATGTCCTCATGAGCGTCCCTTCTGTGATACAATGAGCCACCTGGTGGACACATTGAGCTACTGCAGGCATCTTTACAGACAGGCATCTTGACAGACAGCAATTGGGGTCCTCTTCTAAATTTGAAAGGAAGCTACATGAGCTACATCCATGCTAATACAAACACTCACTTTTCCTATTTTTTGGGTAACTTTAACCGGTTTTTGTTAACGTACGAACATAGTCATATGTACGTTAGTCTCCTAAAGACAACTTACATACCGGTTTCTGTGATAAAATAGTTAAATTAACCCAAACTGGTAGGATAAATTCAGCCGGCTTTTACATTAGCTGAATGTGTGTACATGTTCATCCATGCAGTTAAGGAGATGGATGTTTATCCCGGGGTCACTGATGGCGATCCTGCAAACCACCAAGAAAGACATTACTACCTGTTATCTGAACTGCAAACCTTAGTTAAAGATTTACCAAGGTAACTTACCTTCAAGGGAGATTTCTTTCAATCAACTCAGATGTCACTTTCAGTCTGAGGGGCGATATAACTACATCTTGATGTTTGTATTTGTTTTCCTCCTTGGCTAGCTCCTTCCAGCAGCGGCTGTCCTACAGCACGCTGGGTGACCTGGCTCTGGCTCTCATCGATGGGACGGTCTATGAGATTGTTCAGGGGCTGCTGGATATTCAGCACCTTACAGAGAAAAATCTGTACACCCAGAGGCAAAAGCTGCACAGTGAACGCCAAGGTGAGTGCTCTACCTTTCTCTCTAGGAAAACATGCTGTTACTGATGATGCCTGCTCCAAGAAGCAAGTGTATGCCTGTACCCTGGATAATAAAATGTATACAAAACGCTGTTCTCCAAATGTAGCTTTATATAATAACAAACATATTTCAGGCAAAAATAATAATCTTGTTTTTTTTCATCCAGGCAATTTGATTCTTTAAAAGCAGTTTAAGCATTGATTTGTAAATCCTTGATAAAGTTATCATGGGGAGAAGTGTGGTCTTATTTTGAAATAAAGGCGAAATGACTGAAGAGTTGTAATCATGATTGGCTGAGTAATGTTGGTGCGTGATTGGTGAGGTTGAGCCAAACACTTTTTAATAAGCCAGCTTTGAAATTGAAATTATGCTTGTATCTCCTTTTTAAGATATTCTTCAATTGCATAAACACATTTCATGAGTTCTGCAGTTGTTCAATTTAGTGACAGATTCTTATTTTTTCTCGGTAAACTGAAGGACAAACAGTATGTTCTTGCTCCATTGTTGTTTTTAACAGCTGATCTTTGTTTGAGTTTTTGACATTTTAGGTCCTCTTGCAGGTTTTGGCTAAAGGACTAGTTTTTCGACAGATATATAAATTAATTTCGAGATTAAACCAGCTTGGAATTTAGTGAAAATCACGAGATGCATGTCAAATTGTGTACCCTCAAATCAAGAACTATGTCAAGTACAAACATGCTTCCATGAACTGGTCCTAAGTGTATCATTTTAATAGTAAATGTTAGTTGTTGTTTCTTTTCGTTTGTAGCATTCAAACAAGACCTTCTACGAAAACACAAGGATGCTCTGCAGACATGCAAGTCTCACAATCTCACGCTTCTGAAATCTAACCAGCAAGCAGAGCTAGAGGTAAGGCATTACCCTGATTCCTCTGAGTACTGAAAGGACTATGATATTTGCTATTTTATGATTGTTTTACTTAGTTTTGTGTTTTGTTATCAGGCTCTGGAAATTCGGGTGCGAGAGGAACAACGGGTGATGGATAAAAAGATTGTAGCAGAAATGGATCAGAAAGTGATAGACCAGCAGAACACCTTGGAGAAGGCGGGAGTCCCTGGATTTTTTATCACCACCAATCCTCAGGTTAATGTCTATACTCAATGCAGATACAAATTATACTACAGTAGTGTAGCATTGAAAACTTGCTCTTTATGATGCAGCAAATGTCCAGCAGATGGTGATACTGTATATGTCCTGACTTACTCTTTTCAACTCTTATGTGTTATTTCAGGAGCTGACAATGCAGATGAATCTACTTGAATTGATCCTCAAGCTTCAACAAAAGGAGTCACAATATTGAACCCCTTGAAAAAGAGGCCTAATTTTGCTAAAAGAGGTGGCTGGAAATGTCATGCAAAGGCCATTGACTACATATGCTCACAGTCCAGTAATTGTGAGATTTAACAATGGCCGACAAATTGCATTGTGCTTTTTAACAACATGTTTATCACTTGTTGTTATAAGGATTGTAATCACCATCAGAACCTGTAGAAGACGACTGGTTCTCGAGGGTGAGATGATTGCGGACCTGGGAAGAGAGCAGTAGCAGGTGGTGAAGAACATCAAATTGTTAAGCACGTATCTGCCATGTCACACATTGTGAAATTAGGAAGTTGGTGTGTTGCAATTCCTTTACAGACCTAGTGTATAGATATTCAAGCCAAATGTTTATGAAGCAGACTGCCAGAAATGATATAGTTGAGCATCAATGTGTAACTTAAGGACACAGAAGTGGCGGCACCTGGGATAATTGATTTGACCTTTCCACAGTGAAACGCTCCATAAGGGCCGGCTGATACCTTTGTATCAAGTGACAGTGTTTTGAACACTTTATTGTTTATTTATTTGAACAGTATTGTAATACAGTTCCTTCATTTTGTTTCTGATATTTTTACAACGTTGCTACCTTATTTCACATAATATATTTGTTTTAATGTTTCTCTTTTTTTAAGTGGCGTTGTTTCTAGGGTGAATTAACCCCCTTCTTATTTATATAGATTTTCTTTTAAGGTCAGTGTTGGCGAAATGATATGATATGCTTATGAACAAAAACAGTATGGATGGTATCAGTAAACACATGTGAGTGTTCATTTGTCCTTACTTAAGTATTTTTTCATAAAACAAATATTTTAAAAGTCACTCATTGTCTTTTGTCTTCTTCTGTAAACATTTCAACAGAGTCAAAGTCTGTTATCGTCAATCTCTTTCAGTAATTTGTGTACAACTGGGTTCCAAATTATTTAACTGGCACCCTGCCACTGCTCACTAATTAATGTAGAGACAATTAAAACGTGCACCTGTTCACCTAGGGAGAAACAGGAAAAAAAAAAAAAAACTGACACAAAACAAGGCCCGGTCTATCCAACTGAGATGGATTCAATCAAATGTGTTGATTTCATCCCACCTGGACTATAATTTCTTCATTATATCCATTAACATCATATGTGAACCATAGGAGGCCCTGCTTGCTGCTGCTAAGGTGACCAGGTCCAACAGCAGGACTCCATTTATACCCTAATGTTCATTTTCTTTATTCTAGTACCTACCAAGTTGAAGATACTTATGATACCATATACAGGCTCCTTTTTTGGTTAAAATACGTATCTATACTAATGTGTCTTTATTGTAGGGCTCCTAGATTTTAATTTGTGTAAATAATCTTTCTTATTATGTTTATGTTATGCACTATGCTTGTATATCAGAATCAGAAACAGGTTTATTACCAGGTAGGTTTACACATACGAAGAATTTGACTTGGTGTTGTGGTGCATACATAAAAGTAAAACAAGAATTAAAAGCACAGGTAGAGAACTAGAAAAATATTTAAAATAGTAAAAAATATAGTAAAATATAAAATAGTATTTACATTGGAATGGAATGGAATGAAATATGGAATACAAATCATGAAAATAAAAACCTACTTGGCAATAAACCTGATTCCTGGTCACTTTAAGTAGGTAAATACAGTTAACAGTAACTTATTACCTATGCTGCCTGACCGTTACATAATTACAGCATAGGATAAACGTGTTTAATATATCTACTGCACATTAGTAGTCAGGGTCCGGGAACCCCCTCTGGGCGGATGTGCTCCCATGCTGCTGTAACACGGGTGGGGCGCAGTGGGGAAGCCCTGTGAGTATAAAGGTGACTGTACCTTTAAGAAGAGCCCAGGCGGTGCATGTTGGGTTTATTCCTCGTCGCACCTTCTGCTCCATCATCAGGCGATGCACCCCGGCAACTTCTCACAGCTCCGGACCTGCAGCACAGATGACAGAGCCTGAACAACAACGGTAAAGTGATGAAAGCATTTCCTATTTTATTAATGACTGTTTTCTTCTTGTAAATGAAATAATTAAGATAATGACACCTGCTCATGGGTGAATTCAGAGTGCGATGTCCCATATCTAAAGCATCCAGGATAGAGGAAGTCTACCGATCCTCTTTAGCGTCCGTTTCCATTTTGTTTTAAATTATTAATTTGGCTTTATAACGACGCCTATTATATTCATCTGCTATTCTCTCCACAGTACATAATGTGGTCATGGATATACTGCAGAGTGTAGACGATTAATGTTGTTTATGGCGGGGGGGATTTATTTCTAGTGGGGAATAAAGCGTTACGTAATTGTAGAGGAGGCGTCCTGTTGTCGCCATATGCCTATCCAGGGCAGGAGTCGGATGATACACCGCTCAGAACAAGAGGATGAATGTGTGGACTCACTGATACAAATACAACCCAAAGACATTGTTGGCAGTCAAACAAGAACCAAACATTACCTGCATCTTCTATTGATTCAGTATTTTAGGCTGTGTCTTTACACATCAGCTCACGGGAAGATGACGTGGACTGGCCTCAGTGATGGCCCTTGCCACGCATGCACCTGCAGGCCACAGTGCCAACATCTAGTTAAGATCGATCATCTAAAGTGTGGTGAACAGCCTGATAGACTAGCCTATGTGTTGGGTTGTAGGATTTTTTTCCTTTTACTTTATTTCATAGCAAAAAGCAATAAACTTCATATGTGAATGAAACACCTAAAGTGGAAAGATTATATTTCTGTGTTTCCTTAAGTGATCTCAAATGTGTAGAATGCACAGTATGTAGGTTAACACAAACACCTGCAGAGGTTTTTCCTGTTCTTCTACAAACCGTTGTGCTTTGTGTTGCAGGTATGTTTGATGGACAGGTCCCAGATCTAATTTGACTGTTTCAAAACCTTCCCGCCCAACTGGCCTCCCTAACTCTGTAGCTATGGCAACTTTTCCGAGAGGCTGCTCCCCAGCAGTGCGCCT